TTTACAAAGATATGAAAGAGTATCGACGCTAAAGATCTATGGTGTAAAAATGGAATCACTTTTGAAATATTTTAAATAAAAACTAGCGCTGCACAATATATCTCGCTTAAGCATCGACATCAGGATGTGTGAATGCGTAATAGTTGCATCACAGGTAGCACAAAGGCGATTTCACTCATCATGGTACAACTCTTTCTTTTTGCAGCTTGATACGAAAAGAAATCTCGCCTGGTTCTCATTTTCCATAACAAATCTAAAAGAGCAGTCTATCATAGAGCATAATTTAGTCCTTTTTGATTACAGTGAGTTCTTGTTTAAACCTTATTGATAAGAACAGGGTTTGTTGACATGCAGGTTCCACATGTGCACAGGACAGGGATGATGAAAAGCAAGATTTGGTTGCAAAAAGAAACATCATGGGAATGCTTTACCTACAGAAAGGATGATGTTGACGAAAAACAAAAGTGTCAGCTACAATACTTAGAGCTAATAGATGACGCAACACAACTAACTTGTTGGATCATTTAAATGAGCACCACAAAACCACCACAACTGGAGGTATTCAAGTTAAATGGTTAAAATTCTTGTGTTTTAACATATCGCAATATGTATAGCTGTAAAACTCAATGTTTCAAGGTCATTCAGCCCAAATAAAACCTATCACTATCAATTCAATTTGATCTACATGGCTCTATTTAAATAGCACTAAATCATAAATAAGTAATCTCAGAGGACTTCACATGCTTAAAGTTAAGGATAGTTTCTAGTGTTAAAGACAAAATTCCCACCTTGTGCAAGAGCAACGTTGGGGAGCCCTCTTTGCAGAATAAAATGTATGTTTCTAACAGACTCTTCTCAACATATGTCTTTCTGTCATATTGCAGCAGCATGTCAGCCCTGTGACTTCCATTAAGCGTTGACAGACTGTGTAGGTGGGGACTGGGGGGGTAAATGCAATTATGCCATGTATTATTCATGTCGTTATGTGCGTATTATACTGTAGGGTGGTTCCGTGGTTAGCATTATCGCCCCCACAGCTAGAAAGGTTCTGGACTTGAATCTGCTGCTTTATGTCTGCAGTTTGCATGTTCTCGATGTGTTCAGGTGCTCCAGGTGCTCCTCCTACAGTCTAGAGACATGCATGGGGCAGGTTAACTGATAATTCTAAATTGATATGAGTGTGAACAGAAAAAACTAAAAAAAAATAACTAATTGAGCAACAAAACAAAAAAAAAAAAAAAGAAAACAAGATAAAAAACAATAAAAAGAAAAAACAAAAAAAAACAAAAAAAAAAAACAAAACCTAAAGAAAAAAAAAAAATACCAAAATATTCAGACTCCTAAGAGCAAAAACCATAAAAATCATCTTGATGTTTGGATGGATGGGCTATACTGTTTAAATCAAATTCAAAAAAGCTTACTTGGGGGAAAATCAGATTAGTCGCTGGCTAAAAACCCCGCAAATGACCGCTCACATGCTAACTCACGTCCTCTGTTATCTAATCTACCGCATTATTCGCGCTAATAGAAGCAGACGGCGAGCATGAGGAGAAGGAGGATGAAGGATCATAAGTTAATGGTTGGCAGGCGTGCAGGGCAGTGACTCAGTCTGGCACCCACACCAAAAGGATTACATTTAAAACAAACGGGGAAGGCCGCCGAGGCAGCTCACTCACTCTTTCACAAAGTTCTGCAGCTTCGTCTTCACCGACTTTTGTGTGATCTCAATAACTTCCTAAAAGGAGACAAAGACAAAGCTCTTGCAGTGAGAACTGTTGAAAGGTCAAACGCAACACGCTGCAGCCTTATTTGATGATACATAACTGAAATGGAAAAGGTAGCGGCTCTAACAGATTGGACAAGACACACTCACCCCCTGTAACTCCAAGATGACAGACAGCCTTTTGGAAAATTTTTCCAAGCAATCCTGCAGAAAACGGACATTTCAGATTCAAGTCTCAACAGCAATTTTAACATTTTTCAAGTTAGGAAACCCCCCCATCTCTATTCCATGTAGCCAAAGTGCACAAATATTCAGACAATAAACACTTCCTTTAAGTAAATGTGACACCTTCTGAGTGGAAAAATAACACAAGAGATAACACGAGTGTATAAATAACTCCCTGATGACTGGTATGTCAGAGTTCTCTTCTCACCTCCATCATTTTGTCCTCAGAGCAGTGGTGTCCCAGCTCCCGGAGGCCGTTGACAAAGCTCTTGCTGGTCTGGCAGTAGACCCGGCCTGCCTCCAGCATGGCCTGGCATTGTTTCACGAGCTGGGGGGACACAAAAATGCAAAGCTGCAGTCAAACATGAAATGAATAGACGAACAAGAAATACGTGAGGCAACAATTGTTAACGTAAGAGTTTATTTCAGGAACTTGACATTTAAGAATATAACCTCCTGTTTCTTACTGTTCTGGCATCATTAAACTATTCGGGTGATTGATAAAGCTGCACTGATTGACCAATTAATCAATTGGTTGTCAACTATATAATTAAATGGCAACTACTACTTAGTCTGAGATCGATTAATCAGTTATCTATTGAGGAAAATGAGTCTAAATTCTCTATTTCCAACTTCTTAAATTTTAATATTTCCTGGTTTCTTTACTCTCTTATAGTAAATTCTACACATTTGAGGACGTCGTCTTGGACTTTAGGAAACACTGATTAACTGAGAAAACAATCAAAAGCTCCGATCAAAAGCTGCAGCCCTGTTCAAACTATCAAGCAGGACAGATTGTGAATTTGAATCGTAGATTTTATCTACATTTCTTAAGTCACGTAACACTATACTTTTTTCCCCCCGAATTAACTGCAACTATTTATTTATTTTTTGTGCTGTGGAGAGATTTGTCACATTACATTTGTAGTATTTGATCATGTTTCCCTTTACTATCAGAATCAGCTTTCAAAGATCTACTACATTTCACCAAACAGGACAACACATACTACATCAGATATGTCTGCAGTGCATCAATTAAAGGAACTGCAAACGCTTGATAATAATGTCTGATGCACGAACATTTTACAACATATTCTCCATCAAAACATCAACTGTTTTGGCCCTGTGATGCACTTTTGGCCTTCCTTTCACTCTAAGTCAGCCGGAATAGGCTCCACCCCCTCCCCTTGCAACCCTCCACAGATACAGTGGCTTACAGTAAATGGACAGACGGATATCAGCAGATATGTCAGCTGAGCTCATGCAAAATAACTGGTTTCTAAATCGCTGATAATTTGTCTGTTGATAGCAGAAAAATTCAGTGAAGACAGTAGCAAAATGCAAATAAATTCTCAAGTACTCTATCTGAATAATAATAATAACACATAATGCTTATGTAGCGCTTTTCAAGACACTTAAAGATGCTTTACAATGGAGGTTAGAACACAACACCAAGACAAAATAAATAAATACATAAATAGATGGAAATGGCATCAAGAAAAAGAATTCTTGAATCTTGAATATAGTGTCGTGGTACTTTTCTAAATGTATAGTAGTTCAAATGAGCTCTATGTAGACTAACTACTATAACCAGGGTTCTCGCCAGCATTATAACAGAGTAACGGCCCATTACGCTGCTGCCTGAAAAAATTACTCTGCAAATTGGACCGTTGCGTTGTTTTTGAGGGTATTTAGCGGGAAAATATTGAACAACAAGCGCCGATGCAGTTTCTCTACCGTCGTCTTCGCTGCTAATGCTGCTATTCGCTAGCAGTGAAGTCACTAACGTCTTCTGTGGTTAGCAGTTAGTGTTAGCAGCATTTATTGCTAAGACCCCCGCTATGCTGTCAAAAAATCCTTGTGAGGACCCTGATAACCGCTAACTATTTGTACTTGTATACACAAATGTGTCAATAATATACCAACAAAACAACTTTCTTTTTTTCCCGCCTTTTTTCTCTTTTTGTTGTGTTCTTTTTTTCCTGTCTCTTTTTTCCCTTTTTTGAGTTAGTTAATTATTTACTAGAGCTTTAGTTTGCTTCCTCTTCTTTTTCTTACTAACTATATGTTCAATGTAAAAAAAATGAAAAAATGACCCTCATTACAACATATATGCCACACATCGTACAATCACATATGTAAGAGCTGGGCCTTGGGGTTGAAGAGAGGGATGGGATGGGATGGGCATGGGAGGGGAATGGATACTTTAAATACTGTAACCAAAATACTGCAGCAGCTGTTCTGTGTTTATGCATTTTCCTACCTGCAATGTGTGCCGCAAACAAAATGTATTATTGTGAAGTTAATGGAAAAACTGTTCAAATAAAACCAACTCTATATACTCAACGTAACTCCTCATGATGACAATGTTATGTCTTTCATTGCAGCATTGCTTTTACTACAGTAAAGGATCTAGAATAGAAATAAAATAGCCTTTATTGTCATTGTACACAAAAATTGCACAACGAAATTGGTGGAAGCATCTCCCCAAAAACACAATATGCATCATAAAAGTAATAAATGGTCCACATGTACACACACTCATGTTGCACTGTCCCATGTAAAAACAACAACAACAAAACAAACAGACTACTTCTTCCACTACAGTGGTGAAAGTGCTGAGAGCTGTTTGGCAACTTTATCTCGAAATAGCAGATGTACACACAACACAGTTTCAGCCAACGAACTGAACTTTATCCAAAAGTCATTTATATCTGTCCGTAGATCAGACATGCCGCAGCACGATATGATAGAGAATGGGAACCGAGGAGAAAATCTGCTTTACTTCTTTAATCTATTCTTGAGAAAACACGTCATACATGCTGGGAAGATTTTTTTTTTTTTTCCCATTTCTTTCAATGACAGTAAAGTCAACTACACTGAGGAAAAACGTGGTGTTTGCTCAAGGGTACTTTCACCGAGCAGAACAACCCAGTTAGTCCAGTTTTTTTTTAATCACTGCATGCTGCTGCTACAGCCAAACATAAATCACGTGCATTATGCTTTGCATGTAAACGTGAATCAGCTGCTTTACTTATTGACAAAAGGTGGAAAGTCAGAAACGGCATTCAGCTTATTCGGTATCATCAGGGAACAGAAACGCAGCACATGACTGATGTCTGTCGAATGAATACATCTGAAACCGTGACTAAAGAGCAAGAGAATATTGGGCATCTCATCAAAGCAGAACAAAGTTTTGTTCTCTGTGTCGCAGGACAATATGATGGGGAAGCAGCACCTGCAGCTACTTCCTGCTTCCTTGTCGAGTGACAATTAACCTCAGCCACAGACGGACACCTTTCACTTCGCAAGCCTCTTCACGCGAGGAGCACGAGTCCGCCGACAACCGATACCTGAGTGTGCGCTTGTTTGTGTACGGTAAAAGTAGAGCAGCGTGGTTCTGTGAAAGCATCCGTAGGAGTAGTTTTGTGCGACTTACCTTTTCCAGTCGTGTCTCGATTTCGCTCACGTCGCTCTGGACTACCTCGATGTCAGCCCTGAAAAAGACACAGGCACACAAAAGCAGGAATTTAGTGTCAAACATTGCTGTAAATTTACTTAGAATTATCGCTTTGTCCATCTAAAATGTGATTTTAGATTCCTTGATTTATCAATCAAATGCAGCAAACATTTAAAGGCTTTTTTATTTTGCATCACTGCTGGTTGGATAAAACATTTTCTGACATTTTATAGTTTAAAAGTCTTGTTTAGTGCATATTCATTTTGCTAGATTTCATTGATTTGTATAATGATATAGGTAATATCACATGTTTCTGTGTCCCATAATGGGAACATGTCTGATATCATCACAGGCATTAATTTGTTATTGCATGCTTGTAAATTAAATCAGAAAACTTTCACATTTTTTGAATTCTTTTGTGAAGTTTTTGGGCTGGTGCATTTACATAAATGATCATAAATGTGTGCTATTTGGGAAAAAAAGCAACAAAAAAATATATATATTGTTGAGTCTAAAACAGAAAAAACAATCAGTAATCCAAAAAACTTAAATATGAAGACCACTGGAGTTTCAAAATAAAAATACTTTTCTTACAATACTTTCAATATAAATGCACCAAATATTTTACATGATTTATGATAAATGCCTGCAGCTTAATTCTTAAATATTACTACTTTCATTTCTTTAAAACGATCATTTTCTACACTGTTTGTTTGAATGTTGTTTGGTGAAGCTACAGCATTCTAGCATCATGCATCCTGGCTGCTGCTATTTCAAGTCCCGGGGAATCTTTTTATACGTGTTTCTCTGTAATTTAGCATCATGCATTCTGTATTTTTAGAAATTTTGTGACCTTCGGAAGAATTCGAAATGCATTCCTGTGGGTTTGACCCGATCTTAGCGGACACTTTAGCTGTCGGATGTTTGCGTAGGCCTGTATGAAAAGCAACGGCATGCATCCAGTCTGGGAAAAATACATCTAAATGAGTTTGAAAATGCGGCCTTGTCAAACATCCCTCACACATCAGCACGAAAGTCTCTAAGAGGTCCCCGGCTAGTTTATTGCTTCTCAGTATCTCTTTCTGCCTGCCGCCTTCTTCTCATACCAATAGCTCAACCATGTGGTTTCCGCTGCCTTCCACCAACAGTACAGAGATACAGAGAGACAGAGAGAAAAAAAAAAAGAGGCGAGTGAGTGAAGACAAGAGAGGAGGGCCTGGACAGACAGTAACTGTTTGTGTTTGTTAGTGTGGGGAGGTTTGAATCAAAGTCTGAGGTCATGTCCTCTTGAAAAACGACCAAATGGCATGTCAGCTAAGGACAAAAGGGAAGAAAAAAGAGAGGATGGGATTAAAAAAAAAAAAAGTTTTAAAGGAGTCCATTGTGGAGGAGGAGTGAAGGATTCCTTCAGTAAAGAGCTTCATCCTTTTCACTTGTCCCTGCATGAGAGATACACGGAGTAAGAAAGCAAATTAAGACAGAGCTCGGTTTCCGCCGTGGTTCTCCCCGCAGAAAACACACTTCCTGCCTCCTGTTGATCACCTCAGCACATCTCGCCCTCTCTTCCTGTTGCCCTCCCACCTTGCCGTTACCTAGCAACAGGAGGCAGCACATTTTGCTCTCCCTAGCTGCGCAGTTTCTTCTTCTCCCCCCCCCCCTTACATTTGGCTGTTTGTTTTTCCTCCACTTTTCCTACGAATCGGTTTGATTGACTGCTCGATAACCTCCCTCCTCCCTCCTCTTCCTTCCCTTTTCCTTCCCTCTGACACGAGACCTCACCACGGCAGCAGCTGCCACTTACTCAAACTTTCCACCACTGTGCAAAAGCCCCATAAATTCAAGACGGGCAACACAGAGAGAGAGAGAGAGAGAGGGGTGGAGATGGAAGAGGGTTGAAATGAGCCAAATCAGCTGTGAGCGACAACCCCGGCCACTGTGGCTCAGGCAAGGTGCCAAAAAAAACTATGAAGGCACGCCCAAGTTTTTGCCAACCTCTCTGTTTGAGCCGCTTGCAAAACTTAGTGGCACTTCCCTTTTGATTTCCCCACGTTGATGCTGATGTTGAAAGAAAATGTAATGGCAGGCTGTTTGCTGACATGCAGCGCAATGACAGCTTCAAACATCTGACGAGCTAGGAAGTGACTTTTTGGATGAAAGTTTGTGACACATCAGGAAGAGGCAATCCATGCTTGGAGAACACACTGATCACTATAATCTGATACTAGTGATATTTTCAAAGTAAAGGTTTAATTTCCTGTGGCTCATCAAAAAGCAGCAAGATCAGACTTCACAGGCCTGCATGTCTCATTCCCGAGATGGACACTCACCAGCAAGCAAAATTCACAGAAAATGTTGGATGACTAAAAAGCCACACTGATGCTTTAGGATCATGATTTACTGCTGCTAAACTGTGATTGGCTGCATCACCATGAGTAAATAAAAAAAAAAGCACAGGTGAAAGAAACGCTTACCTGAAACGCGGAGAGTCTTTCAAACACTCCTCGAAGTCCAGCTTGACTGTCATCCTTGCGTTTTTTACTTGCAGATCGTTGTATTTATTCACTTAAAGCCTGTCAGGAAGGGGGAAAAAAACACGAACTCCTCTTGGTTTTAGCGCTCCACATCGGCAGCCTGCCTCATTCTTTTCTTGGTTTCTTCCACGAGTAAGATCTTTTCTTTTTTACTTCCTGATCACATCTGATTCTGAAGTCGCACTTGTCACCGGCTATGAATGAACGACAGGGGATGGAAGTAGTTGCGTTGTTACCATGTTATCCGGGAAATTAAAAACAAAATTTAAAAAAAAAACAAAGAAAAACGCGAGAACGGTGGAGAAGTTGCCGTGCGTAAAAAGTTCAGCGCTGATCAATGCGGATCGATATCAGTAAATGAGCAAATCAGAAGGCAGCGTGTGTGCTGGATGTGGAGTTAGCGGGGTGCCGACTCTCTCTCTCCCCCCTCTCTGTCTCTCTCTCGCTCTCCCCCCACACACACACACACGCACGAGGTCCCTCCCTCCCATCATCTCGCACTTCCGGGTTTCTTACTCATGGCAAATTGTGGTTTGGCAAGTAGGAAACTGCTCAAAATGACAGGTTACGCTACAAACTCTGTGTTTTCTCGACTGACTCGAGCAGGTTGCATCATGATGAAAATATGGGGTTGAATGACTTCTAATCTGATATATTTATGTGTACACATCATGCGGGATCACTCTCCCTCCCTCCCCTCCGCTGCTTGTGTATTAAGACTCCTCAGTTTCGCTGAACTGTGAGCTTCCCAAGCAGAGACTGGGTGTGTATTCTTGTCTGGCAACCTTGTCTGTTGTGTTTTTTTTGTTGTTGAGGTGTAAAGAACCCGCCTGCCCGAAACGCTTTCCACTGACGCTGTGCATGATCTATGGTAGACCAAGTGTGCCAAGAAAAAAACAAGTGTCGCAAATTCAAAAATTCTTTTGGTAAGTCAATGTTATGTGATAGTTAGTCGAATTTAGGTGTAATGAATCCAAATGATATATTCACAAAGTTCAAATTTTGCACTACCAAGTAAAAATGAGGACATAGTACGTCAAAATGACAAGCAAATATGATGAAGTATGTACAAATAATTAAGCTGTAAATCTACATTATGGAAGACCAACTATGACAAATTTTGACGTACTAACTTAAAATATGGCATATTAAGTCC